TTGTGCAGCGGGAGGCGCGCCTGCACACGATTTTGTGCGGGCCACCGCGGCGTGCCGTCGCGGATGCCCCACACCAGCCATACGAAATCCTCTCTCCCCCCCCTTCCCGTCCACTCCTCTCCTAGATGCTCGTTTTGTGGACTTCATGGGGCCCACCTAATTGATATTCCGGCTCTATTTCGGCTACTTCGACGCCAGTTCGACTCAAGCTCGACTCAGGTTCGATTCAAGTTCGACGGCCTTGCACCTTCGGGGGACCTTGCTTGTCCCCACAGTTGGTGTCCTTTCTTCTGCCCGACGCGGGCTCTACGTGGAATATTGGCGTGAGAGCAGCGCGGATTCGACGCGGATTCGACGAGTCCGTCGTGGATTGTGCGCGGATGCGACGCGAATAGGGGCGCGACGGGACCGAGAAAGACCTCCGAAGATGCAACATAATTGTCTTTCTCTCCCTCCCCGCGGGGCGGCCCCCATGAGAGGAGCTCGGAGCAGACGCGGGCGTGCGTGAGCGGCACCCATTCAGTGTGCTCGCAGCCGCTCCTCCACAGGAGGCGGGGTGAGGCGGAGCTGCGCCAGGCCAGTTCCAGCAGCAAGCCCTCTGTTCTCCCCCCACCGACGAAGAAGGTGAGCCTTTCCCCCGCGGGCCTGGACACGAGTAACTCGTGCTCGCGGATAGTGCCTCGGGCAGTGGACCAGAGCACGGTCCAGCCCTGGGGCCCGATACCCAGGCGTGCTGGACCAACATCTAGGGATAGTCTCTGGGCCTTCGCGTAGTTCTTGCACGTGGACGAACCAGGCCCCAACGGAGTGCTTCTTCTCCTTGCTCTATTTATTGATAGTATTATTACATGTTGCTAGAGTGATTCTTCTTTTCTTTTCTCCAGCGACAAGAAAGTCTCGTCTTCGCCGATATTGGCGCGTCAGCTGCCCGCGTACGGTCGCGCTTAAGCGCCCTCGTTTCTAGCGCAACGCGCCGCGCTGGCAGCCCGCGTAAGCCGCGGCGTGAGGGCGTAAGGCCCCTTTGTTCTCATCTTGCAGGGTCGCTCTAGCAGCAAATTCCCTCCCTCCCACCTCCAGCGACAAACAATCTCCCTCTCCCTCTCGCTCTCCTTCGGATGCAGCTCCTGGGAGGTCAACTTTGACACGCTTCATGCAATCCCACCAACCCATCAAGAAACGATGCCCAGAGGAGTTGCCTCGATCAGGGAAGTGGGCAGCACACAGGAAGGGCCACCCAGTGGAGGCCTCTTGGAGCGTCTTGGTCCCGGAGGCCTCTTGGAGAGTCTTGGGTGCCCACGGGTGCCTCTTTGGGGTCTCTTGGGGGCCTCTTGGAGGCCTCCTTGGCGCCTCTTGGGGCCTTCTTGGCACCTCTTCGGGCCTTCTTGAGGCGCTCTTCGGAGCCTTGGGAGCGCTCTTGCGATCAAAGGAGATGGGAGCTCCAATTACGGCTGGCCCCCTCTCGGGAGCCCCCAAAATCGCCTCTTGGGCTCCTCTTTGTGCGCTCTTGGAGCGCTCTTGGGCGCTCTTGGGGCCGTCTTGGGGCTCTCTGCGGCCTCTCTTGGGGCCCTCATGGTCCCTCTTGGATCCATCTTGAGGCAAGCAAACAGGCGAGCAGGCAAACTTCATTCATTCCCCTTGGGCTTTTGAAGGATTCTGACCTCTTGGCGGCCTCCTGGCGAGGCTCCGTGGCCACTCGGAGCCGTCTGTGGAGCTGTCTTGGCTCTTGGGGCCTCTTGTAGCATCTTGGAAGCAATCTGGATCCACATTGGGCTATCTTGGGCCATCTTGGAGGTCATCCTGGGCTCTCTGAGGCCTTCCTAGCGCCATCTTTGGACGCTCCAACGACCCACGAAACCCCCCTCCAGGTCCAGGGGGGGTCAAGCTACCCCCACGCCCGCAAGCCGTCTAGCTCACTCCCACCCGCCCTCCCAACGCATAAGTAACACCCGAGCCTCTGCATGTTCAGCGGTCGTCTGTAGATGGACAGCTACTGGGAACCAAAGCCGAGCCCATGTGCGCGAAGTTGGGGCGAGGTGCGCCACGCGTGCCAGGCGCGCCACGCGCGCCAGGCACCCCTGGGGCCCGAGCGAGCCAGGCACGCCTAGTGCGCCAGATGTGCCACGTGCTTCTTCGTGTGCCCAGTGTGCTGCACACTCCAGCCGTGCCAGGTGCGCCACGTTCGGGGCACGTGCAGAATGGGTCAGGTGCGCCAGCGCACGTTACAGCACATATCGGGAAACATGCCGGCCCCCACCAGCCTGCGCACAGCAGGCCATACGCCGCCAATTTACAGTGATCGCGGAGTGGCCGCGCATGATCCAGATGTAGCCGCGAGGTGCATTGTCCACTGCTTTTCGTCAGGGATGTTGGCCATGCGCGCAGCAGGCAAAATGCTGACACCCCCGTCGTCAATTAAACAAAGTCAATACAACATGTTTGGGGGCCTCACAAACATGACTCCATACTTTGCCCCACAGTGTACTTTGTATTTTTTTTGACAGGGATGGTGTGGGGGGGGCTCATGGGGTCCTCACTGTTTCTGATTGGCTGCCGGTCGCCTTGGGGGAGGGGGGTATACTAAGGGGGAAGAGTGATAAACCTTTCCCCGAAGGGGAAGAAGGGGGTTCGAAGAGAAAGCTCTCTAGACTACTTACGCCCAGAGGACTGGTTGGATTCTGGCTTTGCCCTGGTCCGAAATCCGATTTGATCCCGATTTGATCCCGCTTAATCTGGCCAGATCCCGCTGTAGTCAACCCGCCTGGTGAGGATGTGCAGTTTTCTGGAGGATACCTTTGCATCCTTGCCTTCTCGGCCCATCCTTGGCCACTTTCGTTGGCCGCGCCCCGCTCGAACAGCTTCGAAATGCGCGCCCAAGGCCTGTGCATCCTTCTCGCGCATCCTTCTGATGCGGGCCGACTGCAGTTGCCTCCCAACTCCCCCCCCCTCCAGCGACAAAGAATCCCCCGCTCCCTGCCCTTCACCCCCCCCTCCCTCCCCCCCCCTCCCCCCTCCCTCCCCCTCCCCTCCCCCCTCCCCTCCCCCCTCCCCTCCCCCCCTTCCGCCCTCCTCCCCCCTCCACCCCGCCCTCCTCCCTTCTCCCCAGGGGCACCAGGCAGCCGCCCGCGCGCTCGGAGGTTCGGCTCCCGGGAGGTCCACTTCTGACTGTGCCCTGGTCCGAAATCCAGCGCAATCCCACTGAATCCCGTTTGTATCCGCGGCCAAAATCCGGCGTAGCAGCCCCCCCAATGGGGCTTAATTCTCGTCAGTCTTTCCGACGAAGACCTCCCAGTAGTTGCATCCGAAATGGAAAACGGAAGGTGCAGGTCGGTCGTTTCCAGGGCCCTTCGCGCGCCTTGCAAAATTAACGACGTACATGTTCCGCACCTCTTGCGCGGAAGGTGCCGCCTCGATGCGGCCGCGACAGCGCGGGACTTGCCGCGCGGAAGGTGCGGAAGGTGCAGGTCGAGGCTTCGCGGGCCCCGGGCACGACCGCGACGGTTCCGGCCCAAATCCAGGAGCGGTTCTTTGTTTCCGCTTCCAGGAGTCATTGTTGTACCATCCGTTTTTTTAACGCAGCCTGGAAACGGCCTTGCCGTTTCCAAAGCCCCTCGCAGAAGGAGGGCCCCACGAGTGCTCCCGATGGCCTCGGGGGCCTTTCGAGGGGGCCTCCGAGGTGTCTCCGAGGGCGGGGCCCCCCCCTTGCCAGCCGGACACAGGTTCACAGCTTGTTGTTCGTTGTTTTTGCCGCACCCCGCACCCCCCTCCCGACACCCCCCTCCTCCTCCTCCTCCTCTCCTCCTTCCTCCTCCTCCTCCTCCTCCTCCCCTCCTCCTCCTCCTCCTCCCTACCCTCTCCTCTCCTCCTCTCCTCCTCCTCCTCCTCCTCCCTCCTCCTCCTCCTCCCCTCCTACCTCCTCCATCCTCCTCCTCCCCTCCTCCTCCTCCTCCTCCTCCTCCTCTCCTCCCCTCGCACCCTCCCCCCACCCGCCCCCTGGAGTAACCTCCTGGCTGTCCTCGGCGCCCGTTTCGAGCAGGTGGGGTCTCCCCCAGAGGACGCACGGTTCCAAGCAGTCGCACTCAGCAGAGGTCCGGAGCCATGCCCCATGTCGAAACGCCAGATAAGAAAACGCTGGATGTCGAATGTCGAAAGGCCCGAATAAGAACGCACCGAATATGAAAACGCCGAAAGGGGACCCTGTCGCCCAATGTCGAAGCGCCGAATATGACAACGCTCGCCCGTGCTTCGCATCACCTCGCCTCGGGGCCGATGCGGATATTGAGGATTCGCTCGGCTCCTGAGGGCACATCCCTGAGATCGTCATCTCCTCTGGCGTGCCCATGTTGGTGATAGGGTGCAGTCGGGCCTGTCCCTCTACAGGGGGAAGATTCAATAACAGTGAAAGCATCGTATGGGGACAGCTTTTTTAGTAGTTTGGATTGTTTTTGATGTTTGTTGTTGATATTTGTTGGTTTTTTGTTTCGTCCAAAATCTCCATGCAGGAGGATATGTCCGACCTAATGATAGAGATCAGTTCGAGGCTGCCCCCCCCCTTATTTCATTCGGTAGCGAATCAGGGGAACCTGGCGTGCCCTGTCAATGCCGTCCTTAACGTCGGCTAGCGTCGATTAGCGTATGTCGGGGGTGGACAGACCACCTACCCTGACACGTCGATTAGCGAATTGGCCGTTTTCGGTTCGCGAGAGGGCGTCGCGGCCGTCATTTTTGCGGGTCCAGGGCCGTCGGCTTCGGTCCCAGGCCGTTTTCACTAAAGGGAGGTTTACTAAAGGGAGGTTTGTCCACCCCCGAGTCTGGGAGTCGATGCGATCGAGCCGATGTAGCCTCGACCAGCGTCGATTGGCGCTGATTGAATGTCGATTAGCCTTGACAAGCGTCGATTAGCGTGGATTCGCAAGGGCCGACAAGACGGTATGGGAAGCTTCCGTGGGTTGCCACCGGACTCTCGCGCAAACGCGCGCGCGCGGGAGCGGGCGCCCGCGCAGGCCGCCCGAGGACGGCAGGGCGAAGCGGCAGTCGCCCGCTGCCACAGCGAGGCTGCCGCTGGCACTGCCGGCGGTCCGCCGCGCCCGGCGACGGCGAGCTCCCCTGATCGGCGATGGTCAGAAATTCAAAGGGTAAAAACATGCGTGAACGCAAAAGTTTGGCGCTCCGCGCGGATGTTTTGGATCCGCTCTGGGCCACCCCTCGGCGCGCGCTCTGCGTGCCAGGGAGGGGATCCAGCACAGATCCAGGAAATCCGCGAGCAGCGCCGACAGTTTATGTTTGCGCAGTGTCTTCTTTTTCCTGAAAACGGCGTGGACTCCGGGTTTTTCTTTAGTAGGTTTACACCCAGAATCGACTTGAGTCGGGCCAGCGAATTTATTCTGCGATGAAAAACAAGATCAAGTCCTACTCGGCGTGGAAAAAATGCGTTTCGCGGGTGCCCGCTCGAGGAGAATGTGGCCCACATGTCGGATCTTCGTTGCCCAATGGGGTCCGCAGATCCCCGCTTTCCTCTGTGAAAAAAGGGGAGGGTGCGGATCGTTTTGCGCAGAATCCCCATTCAATAATCAGGTACGGAGGCCTGGCAAATTTTCGACTGGCCGTTGTGATTTTCTTGTGCGAGGTTGACCTTTTGCGTGCCCGCTCAAGGATGGCGCGTTCCGCGCGCGGGATTTTCGAAGTAGTTCGTAGTTTTACCGCCGGACTCGACCTGAGACGGGCCAGCGCAAGTATTTTGCGATAGAAACAAGGTAAAGCCCCATTCGGCAGAAGTTGCGTTCCGCCGGAGCCTGCTCGAGGAGAATGTGCCCCCCATGTCGGCTCTTCGTTGCCCAACGGGGGCCGCAGACTCCCGTTTCCCTCCGGAAAAAAAGGGTGCGCAGCGTTTTGCGCAGAATCCCCATGAAATAACGAGGGCCCGACGGCTTTTTGGGCAACCGCGGGCGGGCCCGACGGGGCTGGGCCCATTTCGAAGCGGACCGCGGCGCTCTTCGGGGGCGGCCGCCCGGCGCCCTTTGCCACCGAGGGCTTCGACCGGCGCGGACGAGCCACCCTTGGCGGAGGAGGCGGCGTCGGCGGCACCCCGTGGCCGACGGCAGAAGTAGGCGGCAGCACCTCGGCGGCGGGGGCCGCCGCCGCCGTGGTCGGGCTGCCGGCCTCTGCGTGCACGGCGCCTCCCGAAATGGCCAGCCCGCTGCGCTGGCCCACTCATCTCTCAACCGCCAAGCCCATGCTCCCGCCCCCCCCCTCCGCCGACCGAGCGAGATGCCAATCCCCAGATCCAAAAGCCGACTGCGCTGACACAGGCCACGGGGACATCCCGCGTACGATGGTTGGTTTCTGCTGCGCCCCCGAAGGCGATCGGAAAACGTCCCGGGGGCAGCGGGGGCTCGTGTGGAGGTCAGGGGGTGACCAGGCCATCGCAACGTTGCCCGTGCGCACTCTCGTGACCATCGCGTCGATTTGGAATTGCCGAGCCGCCCTGGCTACACGGGCCCTGTGAAGCAGCCCATCCGCAACCTTGCGAGCTAGCCCCTCCGAGATCACCGCCTGCTCCAGGTCCTAGATGTCCTGCGGCGTCTTCCTGCAGGTTCGGCACTTGAGCGTGGCCAAGGGCTAGTGCAGCACCCTGCAGGTTTTTGTCGATGCACCACCTGTGGAACTTGTGAAAGCATGGCAATATGGATATCGGTCCATCACCGATGCCGCTGTCGGCCGGACCCTCTTCAAGCGGAGTTGGCAGATTTGTGGTTGGTGTGCCCCCGCGACTGCTGGTTGGGTCGCACCCTCGCCTTTTAGTTGGGTGTCCCCCGCGTCCGCTTGCAAGGCCGCCTCGGCGGCCTCGGCTGCCGCGCTGCCGCCGCCGTCGGGCTCGGCAGCGACCTCGCTGTCCTCCAAGGCGGCCTCGAGCGTCGCCTCGAGGTGTATCTCGGGGTCGACCAGGGCCGGGTCGTCCTCGTTCCGCGACGTCCCGCGCTGGCGGCCGCGCAACCTGCGCGCGTTCGGCGCCAAGCGAAAGATTGGAAGCGGATGCCCCGCTCAGCGAGAATACGCGTGAGACTCAAGTGCAGCGGGGAAAAATGGAGGATGCCTGGCCAGGGTCGAAGCGGAGGCGCAGCTGGTGGGGTCGGGCCGAAACGGAAGAGCCGCCTGCGGGTGTGGGCCGAAGCGGAAGGTCCGCTGGCCGGCATGGGGTGCGCAGCGGCCTTGTCGCGCATTATTTATATCGAATTACCGTGCGGCTGGTGGCGCGTTGCGTTTCGCGTGAGAATGGGTTAGAAGACGTCTGGTAACGCATTAACTGGGGCTTGAGCATGGATTATCAGGCGCCTGAAAATGCAGTAACAGTATCAGGGCAAGCCGAGTAACGCAATGTCTCGAGTGAAGTTGCGGTCGTCAGACCGCCGGATTATGTATTTCCAGATCAGATCCAAGGCATTGTCATACCATCGCTAGGCCATTAGCAGACGCCTGATGATGCGCGACAAGACCGCGTGATACTGTGCTATCATGCGTTATCGCACCACCCGATAATGCGTTATCGAGCGCGCTGGCCACGTTGTATCATCACCGCGGATGCGCTACCACGGCCGCCCGATCACGCGGCGCCGCCACCCTGGCCACATCGACGCCGGCGGCGGGCAGCGGCGAGGGCGGGCGACGGCGAGGGGCGACAGGGACTAGCAATACTTGCGCGGACGGGCAGCAGGCGCAACGGGCCAACCCGAAACCGCGACCTCTGCAAAACAAATAGACGAGGACGCGGAGGACGAGAACGAGGAGGAATAAGTTTGATCTGCGCGAGCCAGGCGCCCGCGCACGCACCTGCACTGCGTCGCAACTTCCCCCCGAGCAGCGGCGCTACCCCTGCGAACCGGCGAACGAAATGATCAGCGTGCGGCGGCAAAGTTAACCGCCGCGAAACAACGACGCCTGCCGCCGACGAGATCACTCACCGCCGCTGGATCAGCTGCCCCTGGTGAGCTTGTCCCAGCACGCCGCAGAAGCCGCGTGGGCTTCCCTGCCGCCATCCTCTATCTCGGCCGGGGCCTTGCCGGCGGCCGTTGCCCCTGCGTTTGTCGCGCGGCAGGCCTTCGGAGTAATGCGCGCGCGGTGTGGACTGCATCGCCTTCTTGGTTTCACACCATTCTTCGTCTTGGTCGGGGTCGCCGCGGGCGTAGAGCCGCGCCCGAGGTCGTCCTCGTCGCCCTGTGAGCGGGCGTTGCCTTCCTGGTCTCGGCTGCGCCCTTCGCATTGAGATTCGGGGTTGGGACCTCGCCCGCGCCCTCCTCGTCGCCACTGCCGCCTGCGCCATCGGCCGACTCTCCCCCCCCGTCGGCGTCGGCGTCGCATAGTGCTCTGGCGATGGCGGGTGTCTTCATGGTAGCCTTCCTTTTCGCGGCTGCCTTGGCCTCCTCGCGCTCAGCTTGCATCGCGCCCGTGGCTCGCTCGACGGCGCACTTCGAGTTGGCTGACTTGGCGGGCGTTTCACCAGCTGGAATTGCCGCGGCCGTTGTGGCTGCCCCAGGGGCAGGGCCTGCGCCTTCAGGGGCGGTGGCTAGAGCCTCGGCAACTAAATCCTCGGCTGAAGTTGCGGCAGCCTGAGCCGCGGCGTCTGGAGCTGCGGCAGCCGCAGCTGCGGCAGCTGGTGCTTCGCGTGCATTTTCGGGGGCGAGCGCTGGAGCTGGCCGGTGGAGATCGCGAGGTGGCCCCGTAATGGCGCGGGTTTGCACTGCCAGTGCCCTGCGGCGGCCCGACCGAGTGCCATTCGCGAACACTTCGAGGCCGTCCAACAGGATGGACGCGTCGTCACCGCCGGGGCAACTCCCGCTCCCAGGTGCCGCCCCGCCACGAGGGGCATGATTGTCATGGCCAGTGCCTGCGCGTGCTGCAGTTGCTGGGCCTGTTGGGCAAACATTTGCATGGTGGCGCCCTGCCCGCTGATGCCGACGGGCGTCATCTGGCCGAATGAGGCAGCGCCCGAACTCTGCTGCCTGGCGCCCGCCGACTGCGGCCCGGGCCCAGTTCCCTTGCAACGATATCTGATGTCTATCTCCAGAAGCTCGCCCGTGTCCAGCGGGGGCCGCATGGGCCCGGCGCACCCCCGAGCGCTGCGTGGTCTGGGGGTGTAGACGCGTCAGCCCGTCTGGCATGGACGGGGGCGGTTTCGCGATCTCGGTGGGCTTTGTTCTCGTCGGCAATGCGTGTGCGTTCTGCCTCGACGTAAGGGAACTCCGTTTTCAACATCCATGAGTCAACGTCGAAGCCGCGTCGAAGTCATCAGCCTGGTTGTGCGCTCGCACACGTTGTAGCAACCTTCAGAGAGCCAAAAACGTTCAACCCCAGCTGCGAGTGCAACCTGGGGTGCGTGTTTTTCTCTTCCACGAGACCTTCTCCTCCCCGGCTGCATTCATTTCGGCCCTCGCAAACTTTCATCATGTGTGGCCGCGCATACTACGTTGTATTCGGATATGTTTCCAATGCGCGGAGAAAACGTCATCTCTGGTTGCGCGCAAAATGTCCGAAGGGGTTCACCCGGGCGTGCACGCGTACGTTTCTTTAAAATCAACACCCCCCCAGGTTGCGCTCGCATTTGGGGCTGCGCGTGTTTCTCCTCCGAGACCTAGGCGCGCGACGCGCTGGGTGATGATGCGCGCAGTTGGGCGGCGCTGGGCGGCGTCTCCCTGCGCGCGGGAAAGAGCTTGCGCCAGTTGTCAATCGTGAGAAACTAACTCAACGAAGGTCGCGCACTTCTGCTGGGCTATGCGGTTGTTGGCCGAGGTCGGAGCCCCTTCTGAAATCGAAGCAAGATGGGAAGGTCGCGGCCTCGGTAACAGTCCACCTGGGCGGCCAGCAGAGTTAACGTTGCCTGGTTCTCGGCGGCGGTGGTCGCCGATCCGCGGTGCAGCGCGGCGACGGTGGCGTTGGCATGGGCCATCGACGTCGCCTCGTGTCCGCCTGTCCCAACGGCGCTCCGAAGCGCCGTCTTGACCGCGCCCGGCCTTCTCCGCCGCGTGGCAGTTTCCAACCTGTGCCGTTGCTTAAAGGTTGGACGTGCTGAAAATGCAGGCGGCGGATGCTCCGC